TAGAAATCAATAATTTAGTTTGTCAGACATTGTTTTCTTCTCGTCTGAATTAAATAATGGACGGCGCATCGTATACTTATCACATTGTATTTGAACTTTAAACAGCAAAATTCCCGCCTTTTTTCTTGTAACGAAAAGCATTAATGCTATTTCTTTGACCATAATTTTAGTTACTTTCATTGCAACACTCAGACCATTAGTCCACAAACCGCAGTAAGCAAAGTAGATAGGAAGTTAAAAAAAAAAAAATCAGACTTCGGCCAGACACAGATTTTCCTGGGGAAGTATATCTTCGCGCGACAACTAACTTACCGATCAGGCTACGGAAAACTTTCAACTGTAGTTAGAATGTAAATACAAAGAGCTATTTCTGCAAATGCATATATCTATTCCTGATATTAAAAGCAGCCTTCTCTGACGTGTCATGTCCTATCAGAAAGTATACGATTATGAATCTCCACATTTTTTTTTTTGTTTTTGTTTTTGTCCTAATCAACTTTTAATCTGTCTTTGCCGTATTTGCAGTCAAATATTCACACAAACCATACGGTTCCCAGTAAAAAAAAAATGCTGAAAATTTATTATCACTGTTTTATCTTTCAGGAATAATTGACCTAGAATAACCTTGAATAAATTTCTCGAATATTCATTAATTTGAATAATCATTTGACTCTCGCGTAATTACTTAACTCTGATTGGCTCTTTTATGATTGATTGTCATTCGTCATTTAAAAGTTATTTGCAGGCAACTTTCGTCTTTCGTTCTGCTCTTCTCGTATGGAAAAACAACTCACTGATTTTGAGTGTTAATTTATCGTAATTTTCAAAGAACATCTGACATAGGGATTGACGAACTGTACAGAAATCCTCCCTGACGTTTTCATTCACATCAATCGTTACCAGTCTTCAACGGTTGTCTCACGTCTTTCTGAATTGACCGCTTTTTTACTGAGCACCATGTAGTTAACTTGCTCGCTTTTTTCCTTCAATATATCTTGTGTGTTTTAAGTTCTCCAAACCCTCTTTGCTCATTATGTATTCTTGGAATTTCAGTGGTTTCTTTCGGATTGTAAAAAAAATTTCCTTCTAGTTCGTATTTGTTTTTAAACCTATCTCGTTACTCACACATTCTGGTTATGATAAGAGCTGGGACAAAAAGGAATGGTAAAGATTACTTATAGCTAGAAGGGACCGGAAATGGTTGAGCGCCATGATCCCTCAACCACCTCTTCGGAAGGGATATGACACATAAAAGGAGAATTGAACGGATAGTAGATCAAGGCAAAAGATGCACAGTAAAAGACCTTACAAAGATGTGGAGAGCCTTGATCGTCAACATCCTGAAAGAAAAAAAAATCAATACAGTAACCAAACTACTCATATCGTTAGAACAAAGGAAGATGAATATTAAACTGGGAACAGTGGATGAGAAAGACTTTGGCGGGAAGGAGAAAAAATAGAAGAATATTTATGCTGACGTCAGCATTAATTCCACAGTGCCTGCAACACATAAAGTAGTCGCTTATGACAAAGCAAATATCTTTTTTTTAGGATTCGTCATGTGGAAAATCACTGATTTTCTTCGAGTTGCAGAGAACACTTATAATTTCTCACCTCATACGGATTTCAAGTAATTGCAAAGATTCGGTATTGTGACTGCTACTGTGATGGTTAGTGTGAATAAAGCTTAAAGCGTAAAGCGAGATTGAAAATCGGTAGTGACATGAAGTAAGAGTTTGATATGTTTATGGAGTATATCCGAGGTTTCCTCCAGTTACGAATGAATATTACGAAAAAGATTTTCTTTGCTTTATACTTTGAAAGCAAAGATGTGAAAGCCGATGAAAAAAAATCAAGTTAATGTCTTCAGAGTTTGAATGTTATGCTGTTGTTTCTCTTAGAAAAGAAATCCTCCGCCTTTATACATGACAGCAAATCGAAAGCGAGGCTTGAAAATGTTATTGAGGTTGCTGGCTACCTAAACGGTTTTCATGCTTATTGAAGTGGCAGAAAGAGACATTCGCTGTATGAAGATGTCTTGAAAGTAACATGTATCACCATACTAGCGTAAGTGAAAAAGGCTTTTTATCTAAAAACGCACTAAGTGGTTCCTCGAGTTAGTTCATATAGGAATGACGGTTTTATTTCATGAGGATTGTCTGTGCATAGTTTTACAAAATAGAAATGATCTAAAAGACGCCATAGAAAAAATAGATGCTGAGTTTGGGGCTTCTTATCGACATCTAATAAAACAACAGGGTTTATTTCATATGCAGTGTCTTCGTTCAATTTGTATAATTAATTAGGCTGATAGAGAAAGGAACTGCAGTATCTTTCAGATAAGCAATATAACTGATAATAAAATATTCTTTATTTTATATTTTTTTTAACGATTTTACCCCAAGCAAGGCATTAATGACGCTATGACACACTCAGTTTCTGGGAGTGGAACACTTCAGTTTGGAGAAAGGACAATAAAAGAACAGGTTTTAGGAAAAACTATAAGATGTCAACTGATATCGCATTTAAATTCCTGAAGATTGTAGGTAAGAAAGAAACAAGAAGAGTTCTACGTGCAAGAAAAGAAAGTATTAGAATAGTACTCATGGTTACATCTAGCTATTTCAATAGTAAAACGATGAGACCTAGTTGCCAATCCAGTACTGCGCTTAAATTCGTGCCGTCGAGGTGCAAAGGAAGAATGTTTATTGGAACAATTGCCATGAAAAATATTCACAGAATACACAAAACTAACGTCACGACGTCGAAATGCCACGTCATTACATACACTCCTCTGGATTTTGTTGAGAAACCGCGGCAATCAAACTAGGAATGGCATCAATATTCAATTCACGAACGGGTGGTAGATCTATAAATGTTTAAGAAGGATTCTGACAAGAAAAATTGTCTGGCACGACACAGTGAGCCAACGTTCCTTGCAGCTGACCTAGCAATTGATTCAATATAGACCCTCCATTACATGTCAGTAGCAGAAGTTGCAAATTGGCCGCTCTCCTAGAAGTTAGCATCAGCCACGCTGATTGAGGGCAAAATGGTTCTCTATGATAATTCAAATCTAGCAGATTCGTTTTGGTAGACATTTACAAGCCATTTCTTTTCCTAACGAAAACTTTTTGAAGATCATTTTCGAAAACAGTTTTACTTTGTTGGCCTTTTACTACTAAGACAGGAGTAAATAGTTATGTCATCAGTATAAATACCTAGTAGCAAAGTATTGACATCGGGACGGTTGTTGATGAAGATAAGAAATAACGTCCATGCAAATATAAATCATATGGGGGGCCCGTATTATTGTGAAATAATCTAGAAACGTGTCCGTTCAACTCGATATATTCTTTTATTCTTATATTCTGCTCATTCCTGTTTTCATTTATAATGTCTTCTGTTCTGATCTATTCTGTTGTCATGTCCTCTTTATTTATATTCCATATTGTTCAGTTATGTTCCATTATACACTAGTATGTTCTATTCTTTTATACTATTCTTTGTTTTATTTTACTCTTTCATATCATGTCCTGTTTGTTAAATTCTATTCTAATCTCCTATAATTCTATTTTGATCTATTTTGATCTGCTGTTGTTTTTTTTTTTTGTTTTTTTTTTTTTCTATTCTCTCATTTCACATTTTATTATTGTTGCCGTTCTTTATGCAAATCTTCTGTTGCGTATTATACTGCGTTCTGTTAGGCTTTCCGTTTATTCAGAATTGGTTTCTCTCCTTACAGTACCGTGTAAAGACATTCATTTTCCACAAAAAATATGTATTCGTTGCATTTAGTCTGTTTTCTTGTAGATGTTCAAACGTAATTATTATACGCATTCTTTCTTATTGGCCATTCATAAATTCCATCAATTGGTGATATTAATTCTTCATGATTATACAGAGAACAGATGAAAGGAAACGATGAAAAAAAGAATGAAAAATAATTTTGTAAATTCATAAAATACATCCAAACCGAACCATTCCGATTTGATCGTCGTTTGGTCTTAAACGATTCATATAATATTCTTAGTGTTGCATTTTGGGTAATGAAAAGGAAGCGGAAGTAACCAATTTCATATCTCGCTGGATGCTCTTATTTCTTATTTTATCGATGGTTATCTGCGTGCAGCGGGACACAAATTGTCACAGTGGAGATTTTTCGCCTCAAGCATGACAGTAAAGATTTTGGTTTTGGTTTTTCATTTCGCCCCAAGCAGGGCATTAAAGCCTTTCCCCCCAAAAAAATTCACAAGTAATAAGAAAAGGAATTTGCGGAGAACCATGATTTCAACTTGAACTGTCATGGCATTCAAAAAAATATTTTGACACAAGCCTATACTTGTCTATTCATAGCACAGAGGCACCCTTGAGTATCCAACTTCTCACCCGAGGAAGCATATCCCTTGAAAACTATTGCACTACGATAGACACCGCGTAAGCTTGAATCAAAATAAGTACACTGACACGACTGAATCAGGGCTTCATATTGATCAAGTTCTTTCTAAACCCTGTCTTAATTCTTTTTCTACAGTCGAAATCGAAAGAGAATATTTTTGACATAGACAAAGATGAAAAAAAAAAACACCCAAAACAAATAATTTTACTGCACGCTGTAACGTCAATTGCGAAAAGGTTTTCCACGGCGGGGATTCTTTAGAAGTCGCTCTACAGTTTGGTGTTGCCAGGTATTGGCACGTCTTTTGGCAAGGAAAAGGGATGTCTTTTCTCGAGATTTGCTGCCAACCGGAAAGGAGTTATTTGTGTGGCCTCTTCCCAGGAGACACAGATAACAAAAAATTCGGACGAATAAAAAGTAGCATATAAAATCGGGAAGGATAAAAACATGCGAAAATGTCTCAAGTAATTTTCAGAATCATGAATCGGAAAAAAGCGATATATTTATTATCATTCGCTTAATAATTGATATTAAGTCAAAGACCAAATAGGTAAGTTGCTTCTGGATATCTTTATGCTTACGATTCTATGTATTAAATTACGACTATTCGTTCAAAGACATGTTCGTGCATGTGTGTGTGTGTGTGTGAGAGAGAGAGAGAGAGAGAGAGAGAGAGAGAGAGAGAAAGAGAGAGAGAAGGAGATAGAGAGAGATTTAATATAAATTTTATAAATATGTTTATACTTACGGTAAATTTTTCTAACAGTACGAATATTTATATAAAATGACAGGTTCGTTTGGATTTATTAAACATTGCAAAGACTAGACATTCTAAAAGAAAATCTATAGATTATCGATAATATCTCATTCAATTCAATTCTAACATTTGGTACTTAGATAGATAGATAGATAGATAGATAGATAGATAGATGGATGGATGGAACAGACTTTTCCCGGTTTTAGCCATATTGACATCATCTGTCGTAATAATCACTAAAAAATTCTTCAAGTTATTCAGCTAGAAAGAGAAGGGGTTAAAATTGTTTTGTGTCACACCCTCTGTCTTCGCAAACTGAGTAATGGAGAGATGAAAAATATAATTCAGGCTTTCAGTAATGATGCCATCCTACAGACTCTGGCTTCCATCTTCAAAGTCCTTTCAAGAATCATGAAGAGAACGGTGAATAAGTTTTAAAAAGATCGAACAACAGAGAGTAAAACTGGATCAGATCATAACAGGACGAGAGATCATTATTTGAACTTAGAGCTAAGGAGATCAATTAGAAAAGATCCAACTCAATTCATAAGACGTTTGGCACGACACGGAAGTAAGAGGAGTTTCAGCTATGAAAATTCATATATATATATATATATGAACTTAATTTGAATCCTTCATGAGTTTCTGAACCTTCCGATTAATTAATGATGAACATGTTTTCTTCGTTTGCGATCGATTTCATCACGATTCTTCTGTTAAGACTGGGAAGTAATTCTATATTCTTATTGTTCAAAGTAGAGTTCAATAGTGTTATAAAAATCTTAGAGAATTCCAGTAAGATATCTTTAATCATTTCTAAGATACAACGGTTCAACAAATCTTAATCTAACAAATGGCCAATTTTGCTTTTTACACGATTCGGACAATTATATATATATATATATATATATATATATATATATATATATATATATATATATATAGTCGACTCTCCGTCGAGATTCGACGTATGAGGGTCAAGCAGATCAGTTTCCAGGAAACCGACAGCCCGACACCGGCACATAAGATTTGATTATAGTGATGAAGGCCTCGTGCAGGACCATCCACACTTTTTGGAGGGACGAATACAGAGACCCGGTGCACCAAATGCCACAAGGTTCCCAAACGACCCTCCGCAGGTTTTGAATTCAGAGTTGTCCTTCTCTTAGACCAGTTGCCATCCAAGGCTATAAAACCCAGTCTGTCCTGCTATTTTACCCATAGCTGGAGGGAGAAGAAGAGGATTCATACCTTTCCAAAGGGTATTAGCACATAAGTAAATGTAATGGATTCGACTGGAATTCGAACTCGGCTCTCTGATCCCTCAATCCAAGCCGCTATCCATTACTCCACCGTGCCTATATATTTACCCGATTCGGACAATTATATATATTTCCGTTACTTTATTATCTATCAATTGCTGTCTTATTCGAAAGATGAAACAGAAATTTCCCGTTGATTTCTCCTCGTTTTTAAATTCAAAGTTCTCCTTCTCCGAGATGGGCTTTCACCAAAGCTTCAAAATTGGGAACGATATATCCAGGCATTCCTATTTACTCAGATGAAGAGATACAGATTGATATGAACATACTTAGAAAATATATTTTAGACAGTAATAATTATTTTTCTTTGGCGATAATAATATTTTAGTGATATAAGTTTCACTAATTAACCCGTAGCTGGAGGAGAAGAGATATATTCATACTTTTCCCAAGGGTATTTACCCGTAAGTAAATATGACGAACACAACGGGAACTCGGATAGATAGATAGATAGATAGATAGATAGATAGATAGATAGATAGATAGATAGATAGATCGAGAATGATTTGTGCATGCTTGCATGCATGAATATGTAATAGATTAAGAATATTATATACATATATATGTGTGTGTGTGTGTGTGTGTTCGCGCGTGTAATTGCTTTTTTTCATTCTCACTCTCTTCTTATTATATCTATATCTGTCTCTATATCTATCTTATCTATATACATACATACACACACACACACACACACACACACACACATATATATATATATATATATATATATATATATATATATATATATATATATATATATATATACGTGTTTGCGTGCTTATTATGATGGAATTTACTTGAAATCTCTATATTTTCTTAATGTTTTTTTCCCATTTCGTAAAAATGGCTTCATTACGAGAACAAAATTATAATGTCGTCAACAGGAATTCAAATCAGAAAAACGAATGTAGGAAAGAAATGGAAACTCCAGAGAGAAATCATTGTCAAACAAGAAACGCAACGAATTTGATCCTTATCTATGTGTTAGCTAATAGCACCCAGTCTTATATCTTTTGCAGCTTCCGATGATTCCAGGGGTGGAGGTGGAGATGGATCAGAATAATAAACAAGGAAATTCATTTCCCCATGAATGAAGTTAAATAACAGTGGAAGATTTTGGGTTTCTCAAGTGACGGTTACGGTGTTAGAAAAAATACGATCCGCTATCAAAGAAAATAGGAAATCTAAAAAATTTTTTATATAAAACAGTTTAAGGATTACCTACACCTGGAAAGTATTTATTTTTTAAACCTGTCCTTTGTCGAGTAGTTATTTAAACAACAAAAATTGTTAATTCTGGTCTTTGAGATGGCAATTTGTAGTAACCACGAGGCGGTGAATTCAGTGGCTGTCTTTTGGGCCCTAAGTTTTCTAGTGACTTGAAATGCAGCGACTAAATCGAATCAATAGTTGTACTTACTGCAAGGAACGTTGGTTCATTGGCTCGTGCCAGAAACCTTCTTTTTTTCTCGTTAGAGTTCACCTTGCATATTTATAAATTTACCATTTATCCGTGCATTGAATACTGCTACCATATCTGCTCTGGTGTTCCTGCTATTCATCTCGAGCTTCTTGACAAAAACAAAAGAAGGATTTGTAATGTAATCGATCCTGATTTGTCATCTCGACTTCAGTCACTTTCTCAACGACGTGATGTGGCTTCCCTCTTTATTTTATGCAAATATTTTCATAGGCTACATTCCCCGATGCCCCGACTAAATGAATTTACGCGTGCTACTAGATTAGCATCTAGGTCCCACCCGTTTACTGTTGAAATATCTAAATGCAACCTCCACTTCTACTACAACAATTTCTTTTCTTGCACTTCCCATATGTGAAACTCCATTCCGTTTATTTGCTTCCCTGATAAATATAATCTTTAAAAATTTAAATGCAACCTCAATCGCGATCTTCTATCTTATGTGAACACTGTTCATCTTTTGTCTTTTTTTCAATCCTCTCTATGTTCAGTCTTTTCTCTCACTTTCACTCCCTGTAACCTCATATTACCATTGGCATTTCCGCTTTGATTGGAGTGAAATAATTAAAAACAATTTAGTGAAATCCATTTATTCTGGTTTTGCTAAAACTAAGAATGTAATGACATTACACGAACGCTGTATACAAAACAGCAACAGAAATAACCCAACAGTTTGTTGACGCAAACTACCCCCCATCATCCCTCCAAAAAACACAATATCTGAAGATCATCAAAGAATATCTGGTTCAAATGTCGTGTCTATAAAACACACAGCTGGCAACAGTTCGAATAAATAAAAGTATATTAACAAAATTGTTTCGTTAAGATTTACATTTTTTTTTCTTTAAATTTAACGTCGTTACAACACGAAATTTACTTTATCTTCTAGAGCCGTTATCGATAGCGTATAACTAAGAGAAGGAAACTCTCCGTCGCGTTGCGGGCATATCCAATCATAGGAGAGGCTTTGGGAGTAAATTGAGGACAAACTTAGAGCTGGAGTCCCTAAAACAATCCATTGTTATTTTCAGCTACGTTCTATCAACTCCTGCGACGACGCCAGTGTCAAGCTGGATTGGACTTTACTTTTCCCTTGGACAATATCAGTTGCGTGGAGGGTGTGGAGGCGCTCTACATTAGAAATCGCCGATCTCTTATAAAACACTACCCTGGCCTGCGCCCGGGAGACGACACCTCTAAGACAAAATACGGGAAACAACAATTAAATGACGGAAGGATTACGAAGCTCCTTCTGTATAGGGGACTGACCACCGACAAGAGGGCGACCTTATCTTCGCTTCAATGACGTCTTCAAAAATGACATGAGAACGATGCACATGGATATCAAGATGTGGGAAGACGTCGACAACGATCGTTCACGCTGGAGACGTGATTTACACCGATTGATGGAGTGAGGACAGAAGAAACGGTGGCTTGTCGCCGGGGAGAAACATGTTCAACGGAAAGAAAACAACTCGGTGACATCGTGGAGAGCGGGGAGCTCGTCTTCACATGCATTGGTTACAATCAAAACGATTACTCACACGTGAGCCTGTACAGCCATAACAGATGCTGCACCGCCATCAGCAGCTGAATCATAACTTTTGGGGAGCAGATTCATGTTCTCACAAGACCAACAAATGCCACATATAAAGAACTAGTCCAAAAGCGATTTAAACGCGCATTGCTTATCTTTGAGAGCCTCTCTAACGCGGGAAATATCATACGAGTTAAGCTATGGATATCAAACAACAAAATTTATTCCTGAAGCTAAACACTTCCATATTCGCCATATTGTTTTCGCCTAATAATAGGCGTAATAGTCTTAGGTTTTCTGAATCTCTTACATAAAACATTGATTTTAATTTTTGTTACCATTTTTACTTTCATCTTATTTTGGTTGATTTTTACCGCGGCACTCAGGTTGTATTTATATTCTACGTTCGCCAAATGGGCGGCATAGATCAAGAAAAAAAATTGAAAGCTTTTCATGAGATTTGAACACTGCTACAGGATCTCTTCTGTGTTTGACTGAGACAAATTTCTACTATATCGACTACAAATGCAATAGACAGACGTCGTTCCAATTTAGTCATTAGATACATTTCTTTCATATCCTCATTTACTCCATATTTACTCAGATCGTATTTATATTCTGGGACCGTTATTTAGACAGCATCAAGTAGGAATATTAATTAGTAACCTTCCGGTGTTATCTGAAATCTTATAGTATCATTGGGATTCTATCCTGAAGAAATACTTTACTGTATAGGTAACAAAAAGCAGCAAACACACGACACCCATATTTAGTCATAGAGGAGCATTTTTCTCTATCCTATTTTTCTGCATATAATTTGTTTACAGCGTCTATCAATGGTCGATGTAATAGATTTAAGTTGTCTGAATTTCTTAAATGAAAAATTGTTTTAATTCCTTCTACTATTTTTCTTTCATCTTATTCTGTTGTTCTTTATGTAAAATTCATTTCGTAATTACATTCTACGATTGCCAATTAGACAACATTCATCCAGAATAAACAGTAAGATTCTTACATGGTTTGATCTCGCATCTCTTATCCTTCTATGTTAGAACAAAACACATCTTTCTGTATAGGTTGCAAACGGCAACAAGTGGACAATATTCAATTTTAGTCATATAGATAAAATTCTTCCTTATCTTTTTACTCGATATTGCCTTATTCACCTAGTAGTAGTAGTAGATACAATAGTGTTAAATTTACCGCGTTTCTTAGACAAAACCTGCTTGTACATATCTCGTAATTATTTTTTATTCTAATTTTGATTCTTCCTGTCTTAATTTTCATGTCGTATTTATATGCTATGACCGCTAATTAGGCAGCGTGTATCAAGAATAAATTGTAAATTCCTAACGGTATTGGAACTCTTATCTGTTCTCCTTTGGATTCTATTTAATTGAGATAGTACTTTTCTGTATCGATTAGAAAAGGTAGCAAAAAGATATCATTTAAATTTAGTTATATAAATACATGCTTCCTTATTTGATTTTGCTCCATATTGTTTGTTTACACCTTCTATTAGTAGAAAATGTAATAGTCTTTTAAATTGTTTGAGTTTCTAGAATAAAACATTATCATTATTATTAATTAGTAATGCTCGTGAAAATTCCACAGCTATGTTTTGTCTTGTTTGTTTGGGTTTTTTTCTTGCTTGGTTGAATGATTGCTTCTTTCTTGCTTGTTTGCTTTTTCTATCTGAAAACAATGGGCGTCTCGGATATGTCTTTTCTGTCTTTCCACGTGATCAAAACGAGATAGGCCATTATATTTATTAGATACTGACAGAGCGTAACCTACGTGCTAAGAAAGGAAAGGACACGCAGAATTATTATTATTATTATTATTATTATTATTATTATTAACAATAACAAGAACCTAAGAGATACGAATATAAATCTCATCTAATGTCGATTTTTATTTTCAGCTTCTGCTTGACACATTTTCATACCGTCAAGTCAATAGCGTCAAACCGTCGAATCGAAAACGTTACCGCTAAAAAAAAAAAAAATCTCAACTCAAATTTCGAATCTTTAGGAGACACTTTTAACAAAATTACATTTGTTTAATAATGGAAACACGGCTCATTTACAAAATAAATTTCCGTAGAAATGTGGATAATTTTCCTTTCTCCGTATAATCATGAATAACATTATATTATTTTAGGAAGTTACGATTCACCTTGTCTTCGTATATCAGTGTTGTAAATTTAATTTCTCCTGGGAATAAAATTGTCGTCACAAGATTTGTTCGTAATCAACTTACGTAGAGAAAGTTGTTCTACATGCTCATCATTCCTCGGCTCAAATCGTTTTAATAGCCAGGTAAATGGCTGTTGCCATTAACTTCACATTTTTGATAAAATCGTTCGCATGAAATATTAAGGAAAACTATAAAAACATAAAATGAAAATATCTTACGAAACGTACAAGATCCATTATTCAAAATTTAACTTCTTTTAAGAATTGTCTGCAATGCCTTCTGTACTGCCCAAAATCTT